TTGTCCTTGCTGGGGATTTAAATGCACGGGTTGGCCGCCTGTTACCATACGAACACCACCTTGGTTGTCATCACGTGCTCGATGAGAACCGCTCTGATAACGGAGAACGGTTTCTCACATTGTGCGTAGACAACCATCTGTTTCTCTTGAGCTCTAATTTCAAGCGTACGAAGAAGCGTTCCGCAACGTGGCGTCCCCCCTTCGCCAACACATCCGTAGTCTTAAATTGATCACATTAAAGTTAGGTTCAGATGGCGTGGCAGCGTACTAGACTGCAGGTCCTTTTGGTCCACCTCCGTTGACTCAGATCATGCACTGGTTTGCGCGAAAATCTGTATGTGTTTTGAGGGGTCCCGAAACACGAAGCACCTCAAGATTGATGTAAACGGACTATCTGATTCCTCTGTGCAGGCGAGCTATTAGTCTTCACAGGCATATGCACTCAGTTGCAATCCACCACAAGACGTGGAGCAACACTGGATTTGTACACAGAAAGGGATGACCATTTCTGGACAGTCAAGCTGTGGCCTAACTCGACGCCCCCTAAAGGCTTGGATGTCTGCTCCTTCCATGGTGCTGTTCGAACGCCGCAAAGATATCCCGGCGGAATCAGATTGCAAAGAGCGGCGCCGTTCTGCCAACCGGCTGCTCAAGCAAAGCCTACACATGGATCGCGAGACATGGTGGTCTGAGCGTCTTTTAGAGATGGAGACCGCTGCCCTCTCTGGCAACACTCGCAGGCTTTTCCAACTCATTCGGTCCACTGGTCTCAGGAAGCCTGTTGTCCGTGAGGACATTTGTGATGTGAATGAGTCTCCGTTTCCCACCAAACAGAGGCGTATGGACCGCTGAGCCGAGCACTTTCACTCGCATTTCAACTGACCTCCATCATCCATCAGTACATGCAGTACACCTTATTGTCCACTCTGGCTCGTCCCACTGAGTCCACCTAGCGAAGCGGAAGTCTGCCTCGAGATTCGACGCTTGAAGCGGTTCAAGGCTGCCGGCTCAGACGGACTTCCTCCGGAGGTGTTCACGTACGGCGGTGTGACGATTATTAATCAGCTGACCTCGCTATTCGCAAAAATCTGGTATGAAGAAAAAGTGCCTTCCTCGAATCAGTTATTGTCCCGATTTTCAAGAAAGGCGCTCGTACTTCATGTGTAAATCATCGCGGGATCAGTCTTATTTCGGTTGCCTCCAAGCTATTGGCATCCATACTGCTTCGCAGACTATCCCCAGTATGTGAATCATCTTACCGGGAAGAACAAACTGGTTTGCGTCCCGGCCGCGGATGCGTGGTTCAAATATTCACGCTCCGCCAGCTCCTCGAACATCGCCACATTTATCACAGGCCCATTATCGTTGCATTCCTAGACATACGTGCCGCTTTTGACTCCGTTGATGGACCTGCTTTATGGCGTTGCTTGCTAAAGAACGGGGTGCCAGAGAAGTATACCGCCATCTTACGAGCACTTTACCTGCACACACCTGGCAGCGTGAGGGTCTATGACAACCTTTCCTCGCAATTCGCTGTCAATAGCCGTGTGCGACAGGGCTGCCCTATGTCCCCACTCCTCTTCAACTTCGCAGTCGAAGACGTTCTGTCGAATGCTCTAGAAGCTTTCCAACATTTTTGCCTAGAGCTTCTACCGGGAGAGCGCGCGACCGACTTAGATTATGCTGATGATATCGACTTAGTTAGTGACGATCCTCAGGATATGCAACTCATTCTGGATCGTTTGGTGGTTGAAGCATCTAAGTATGGCATGTGCTTTGCCCCTTCGAAGGGTAGAGTACTTCTCAAGAATTGGCTTTCACCTGCTCCTGTGCTCACCCTCGAACGTGCACAACTTGAACAGGTAGATAGTTTCGTCTACCTTGGGAGCTGTGTTTCTGCTGACGGCACTATCAGCAAAGAAGTTTTTCTTCATATCGCTAAAGCTCGATCAGCATTTGTCAATCTGAGGCACTTGTGACGTCGTCGGGATGTCTCGTCCTTGCTGAAGGGTCGCGTTTACAGCGCATCAGTTCGCTCAGTATTGTTGTATGGGTGTGAGTCCTGGCCGATTTGCGTGGAAGACATGCGTCGTCTTTTTGCCTTCGATAACGGTTGCTTAAGGAGGATTGCTCGTGTTTGGTGGCAACATCGAGTTAATAGTAATGACGTTTGACGTCACATCTTGGGGAATGCGAGTATTTCCTTCAACAAACTGGTTTTTGCTGCACCAGTTGAGATGGCTCGGTCATTTCCTGCGCATGGCACCTGAGCGTCTGCCGCGTCGCGCTCTATTCGCTCATCAAGGACTTGACTGGAGGCGACCGCGTGGTGGTCAGTTTTCTACTTGGCGATAGCACATGGAATCGCTGATGTGTCTAGCAGCTGTTGGATCCGTACGTGTTCCAGCATGGGGAGCCTAAGATGAGAAGTGTAAATGGCTTAGCACTCTTGAAGACATGGCCCGCAACCGGAATCAGTGAAAGGATTGTGCACAGAATTGTATCCGCTGATCTCCATGGTTTTTCGTCGGCTCTGTGTCTAATTGCTAGACTACTGAGATCACATACATACATACTGCCTCCTAGGTAGCTGGATGATATTACCCAATTCACGGATTTCAGTCATGCAATAAGAAGATTTCATTTCACCCCTTCTCACGCTGACGACCTGGCCGAAATCAAGCACTAATACGGGGTCACATTTACAAATTAAAGTAACACAGCCACACACATTCTTAACTACCTACATTCATATACACTTATCACATAGATCCATATGCTCTACTGATAAACTTGTACCGTTAGTTACATTTATTAGCCTTTAGTGTCTGCATCACCATGATCATACCTGTGCAGGTGTGTCTCACATTGTCGAGAATAAAACAGTTATTTATTTACTTTATGGGTAACGGCTTCAAAGAGGTTGAGAACCGCTGGTCTACGGCAATACTCATCTTGTGCCTGCTGACCCTACCAGCACCAGTTAAAATGATGGTGGCGGTCTATTAAGCTGGATTCAAGTGGACAGCAGCAATTTTATGAGTAGATGGTCCGACTGCGTACTTAGGTCCGTAACAAAGAGCAATGTCAGAAGAAACAGTGCCTTATAGTTATTCCAATGAACGCTCCCAGAGACTGTCGTTCGGATTTCGACAAACGATGTTTCACATAAGCACTAGAAAGCCGGTGGAGTTATCTGACGAACATCATAAGGTATTCCCTGTCCTGTTTGAGTCACTTTTTATGTTTGCGCTGAGATCCGTAATTGTAGTCTGCACCATGTTTAAGTTGGATGCCCGGTCATTCCGAGCACTCGGACCACATCTGATTTGAATGTTGTACATATCGCTTGCAACTTGGTACTTCACAACGGTTTCGTCCTTATATGGGCATGAGCTAGGAGCCCAACTCGTAGCGTCATGGTTATCCGCTGTCTTCAACAAAAAGAACAATTGTAGCGATTTTCTTAAAGTTTTCATCCCAGTAGTTCCCAAGCTACATAGAACAGCCTAGTCCGGAAAAGCACCAGACGCGATTGTCTGAGATCTCAATGCTGGGTTTGGAGTTTATGTGGGCAGTCTAGATGAGCTCTTTCTACCTGAAGGCTGAAGTGTTGGGGCGGATAACACTGATACTCACACATCAGATGCTGTTCAGAATTTGTTAACAGTGTGAGCTGTCTTCAGTTCTTCGCGCATCAGTTTGTATGCTTTCAGTACATTTGGTATATTTACTTGTTGTTCCCGGGCTTAGGATGGGCTTCACAAGTAAGCCACTGAGCATTACCGCAGCTAATTTGCGTGTATTCAATGGTCCATGATGCCAGTTATACGCTACCCTGAGTTTTCGTATGTCTTGGAATTGTATCGCCTGATATCGAACCCAGTGGAGTAGCATAGATGTCAGATATGTGATTCTTATTTATGCAAAAAGTAAGGCTGGTTTAGGATGTCATGCCCCGTAACTGCTTTTGATCAACAATTAAATGGTTGATTCCGAGTTATCGTATGCGTGATGTTCACTCCCACACAGGGCTCCAGGCTGGACCGCACCCCATGCGAGTGTTTTCAATAACGACTGCTTATCAGCTGACGTCTGATTCATTACTGGGTACACAAGACTGTCACAAGTTGTTGGGTGAGAGGTTGCTGTTTTTTGACCGCTTTACGTAGACAGTTGCTACGAATATTTGCTTTCCGGTGCATAAACGACTAGCATGTAATGTTTAAACTCAAGTGAAGTATCCATAAAACACACGTGTATCTTGCGTCTACGATGTGGATAATAGTGTCATGGAACACCGTCACAAGGGTCCTTGTGACGTGTGTAGTGATGGAATCTGGACCGGTTTCTCATCAATCGTGATTTCAGCTGATTGTTACTCGGTCTTTCATTCTTTCGTGTACACCGGACGTGTGGTAGAAAAAGGCAACAGTATGGTAGCCACCATGTCAGCCATTGCATCGTGATCTATAAAACCGGAACAGAAAAGCAAACCGACGCCGGACATGCTGTAGCGCACGAACAGTCATTCAGCTGTTATGCAACAGCAATGAAACGGGGCATTATATCCTACACTAGTCTCAGTATAAGCAGCCACATCAATGTGCTCTTGGATGTGAACTTGAAGTCGCGCCAGTGTGTCACCACAAGCTGTGAGGTTGGTGATTGGTAACAAAATCAGAACAATTATCCAACGAATGGGAAGATGCGTGAAACCAGACACAATGGTCGCACAGCGTAGTTCAACCGAGTGACCATACAAAACGCATTTAGGAATAAATGTGGCGGTGGCCCAAACTTAGAGACAAGTGTATCACAACTTGAATGTCGGTCTGTGGGTGGATTCGGAACAATAAAATATAAAATTGAAGCGTCGCCCAAACAGAATTGCTTATACTGAGAGACAAGAACATCAGGCTTATACATGAGGGGTTACACATTATGTAGAAATCATAAACGAGCATAAACAGACGGTGCCCAAATTCGGGTTAACTAACCTCGTTCCTGTAGCCACAACAGGCGATCTAACAAGATGACTGTTTCGATCGCAGGAGCCAACATCAGACGGAATACATGGTAACGCACTACAGGGAGCCACAACTGCTCACAGGACACTTGGGTGCCAATTGACTCAAGGGCTGACTCAATTTCCATTGAGGTAAAGGGTTCAAAGAGCGAAGTGCATGACTTCACGTCAGATGTCTGGCATGCGGCCATTCGTCGTAGTAAGATGGTGGAGTACCTAACGATTAAGAAGATCGAACGCGTGTAGCGAGAAACACAATTGTTAAATCATTAGCAAAGAATCATTAGAATTCATAAAATGCAAAGGACGATAGTTTTAAAGCATGACTAAATCTGAGCTCGACGATAGGTAAGGTTTACCAAATGAACAAAGGTGAGGTTTCCCTCATTCTCAATAGAACCGCAGCGTTTAAAATGACTACAGTCAAACTTGTCTAAGGCGACCACTCAAGGGATGGACAAAAAGTGGTCGCCATGGACAGGTTCATACACAGGGACATTCATCATAGGAGAAAACGTTGCAGATGTTTTTGGCCGGTCGCCATAGCAAGTTGCACTGTATTATGGTGCTTAGTAGTAGGTAGTAGGGATTCATTAGATTTCTGCGAAGATTCGTCGCAGCTAGACTCAAACAAACAGCTACCATACATCCAGGAAAGCGTTAGACGGTCGTTTCATCCTATTGGGACTCGTACGTAACGCGCACTCGCCGATTCCTACTGGATTCGAACCCACCGCCTCACTGTTAGGAGCCAGCGACTTATGCTACTGAGCCATGGGTGACGGCAGCAAACCGCCATGACTGAACTCCAACTGCATTATAGCGCGGCTCATCCTCCAATATCATGCACTACAAGAAAGTGCAGAGGACAGGGCTGGCCCCCAACGCAAGGACTTCCTTTGCTAGCCGCCACCATTCGAGGTGGTATGTGAGCTGCTAAGGTGATTAGTGAGTATTAGTAAGTTGAAGTGCTCGTCTCTCGCCTGAATTGACGGTTGATTCTCAATCGAAACTCGAGGTCATTCGGCCCCCACAGGACAGAGAGAAGACCGGAGCGGACGAGCAGATGAACAGGAATGTATTAGCCAATCACACCGTTCATGATAAAGGTAAAATCGAAAGTCCATGAACGGTATTTAAAGCTCAGGTGAAAAACTCTGGAAGGGTTAACTTGCGGCCAATCAAGGAATGCCACCGTCGTGTCAACTGGCCGCTTTATTCGGTGGGCTATCTGTTCGCCCCAATCAGTGCGGGTAAGTTTGGATCGCCTGCCACGCCTTGGCTCCGTAACGGCAACGGAAGCCTCGGTTGTTCGCTTAGCGTATTCCTTCCTAACACTTCCGCCTTGGAGTTGTGTACGATTTCAGCTTGGGGTTGACTTGCATGAGCGACACGAATTTGCCTCGCCACTTCGGTCTCTGTGTGGCTAGGTTTGGGGGCAAATCATGTGTTGGGGCATGTCGGAGAGTCTTCGCTTCACCTGCGTTGGCCAGTATCTCCAGAGGTAATTGCGTTGCTGGTACTTGTTGTTGCAGTTGTTCGCCAGTCACTGCCTCCAGCAGCTGATTGTCATGTCTCATCCAAATCGCCGTCCCAACCTGGATACAGTAGATCACCTTACTACGTTTGCATAGCGTATGATCCATAGCCCATTTTGGATGATGGATGCGATAATCACTTGCCAGAACTTGTTGGCCAACATGAAAGGGTCACTTTCAAGCATGGTGTCGAATGTTGAATTGACTTTCCATCTGAAAGTTGCGGGACAGTATATGTTCCTTCCTGGGTCTGAGGGCATTATGCGGCACACGGATTTTCCTTTGAAACAGTGTTTCAACCGGGGATAGTACGTTCGTAGTCTGCGGATTTGGAGTTTCGCGATACGTCAGAAGAAATGTGTCAAGAATCTCCGCCAAGCTACCTTCTTTCAATTTTAGCCACGCTCTTTTGAGTGTATTTACAAGGCGTTCTGCTTGCCGGTTTGATTATGGGTGGAAAGGTGGAGACCTTAAATAGACAGTCGCGTTTCTGCGACAGAGCAGAAGACAGTGCCTTCTGAGGTAGTTTTCACTACTAAAATCACCTCAGGCCATTTACTGTGAGTATCGACAACGATGAGAAAAAGATGACCGTCAACTGGACACGCAAAGTGGACGTGTATCCAGAGCCAGGATTGCAATTCCGTCTTCATTGTCTGTTTAGAGACACTGGCACATCGGGGACAATTTTTCGTTAAGTATTCGATCTGTGGATCCATATGGGGCCAATACACATAGCTTCGTACCAGCGATTTTATGCGATTCATTCCTGAGTAGCCAGTATGAAATTGTCGGAGGACTCTGCCTTGAAAGATGACAGGAACGACGACGCGATCTGAGAACCGCATACAATTGTTGACGACTGATAGTGCTTCTTTTCGTTGGTGGAATTGTTGAAGCATCTGCGTTGTAACTCTCTTTAGCCAACCATTAAAGTGGAAATTGATCACTTGTTGCAGAGGAGAATCATGACGAGTCGCTTCCTGCACTCTTACGAACGTTACTGGTAAGGCATCGAAAACGGTAAACACTTGATTTAACTTGGGATACTACGGAGATTTGAGCAACTAGCAAATCCTCTGGTTCTTGATACTGTGTACCAATGAAACGAGATAACGCATCCGGCTGACCAATGTTGTGTGTAGATTCATATTTGATGACGAAATCGTAACAAAGTAGAACCGTTGCCCAGCGTAGGAGACGACTATTCGTTCAGACCGGAATACCTTTCTTTGATCCAAAGAATGCAACCAAGTGTTTGTGGTCCGTGAAAAGCGTGAATTTTCGTTCATATAGCACTTTGTGAAATCGCTTGACTGCAAACACTATAGCCAAAGCTTCTTTCTCGATCTGTCCATAGTTACGTTCCGCTAGGGTGAGTGATCTGGCTGAAAGCGCCACAGATTTCTCTGAACCATTGGGGAAAATATAGGATATGACTGCTCGAATACCTTAGACTGACGCGTCGGACGCGTCAGCAGCAACTACGATCTCCAGCTCGGATTGAAATGCCTTAACAGTGGGTCAGAACACAATATAGACTTGACATATCAAATGCGGCTTGACATTCAGGAGACCACACAAATTTGCGATCCTTTACCAGAAGTTCACCGAGCGGTCCTCGTAGCCGATGCATTTCGGGCACAAAAGAGCTGTAATGACTGAGCAACGCCAAGAATGATCTGAGCTTCGTGGCATTGCTAGGGGGCAGTATCTGTTTGATGGCACTTAAGTGGGAAGGATCCGGACGACGACCATCGTTGTCGATGATGAAGCCAAGATAGTTTACACACTTCATGCCGGTAGTGTACTTTTCTGTTTTCAAATTGAACCCGTAGTCGTTAACGCGGTGGAGAACTGCTTCCAGTCTTTCCGTCAGATCTCGATGAGTAGAACTGTTGATTAGAATGTCGTCCAGATAAGCTGATACCCTGATAACCCAGTTAAAGTCGTATACATAATTTTTTGAAAAATCGCAGGAGCTGATTTAACACGAAACGGCAAACGGTTGAACTGATAAAGGCTTCGGTGCGTATTGATTGTCAACAACTCCTTTGAAGCATCGTGGACGTCAATTTGAGGATAAGCATCTGATAAATCCAGCTTTGCAAAGTAAGCGCAACCACTGAGTTTGGCAAATAAATCTTCTGGGACTGGCAAAGGATACTGGTGCATTTTCAAAGCAGCATTCAATCCCGTAGAGTAGTCAGAACAAATAAGAAGGGATCCATTAGTCTTCTTGATGACAACAATAAGTGCTGCCAATGCTGAATAGTTCACAGGTTAGATGACGCCGGCCCGCTCGAAAAGATCAAGTTCTGAATCAACAATCGGAAGCGCAGCGTATGCTACCGCTCTTTTGAGCCGGAATACCGGTTTGATGCCGTCTTTGACAGTACGGCTTGCTTCAGTCTTTGCGCATCTTCCCGAGTCGTTTCGAAACACAGACCTCGTAAGTCCGAGCAGGAGGATATTGCAGACATGACTTAGGGCAATGTCGAACTAGTGGAGCATCTGGATCCAATCGAGTCCAAGTAGATTCAAAGGTGACAGCTCCGTAATGTACGCGAAGCCGTTTGCCCGCGCAGCACCAAAACCATTTCACACTGCAGCTCACCAATGAGATAGTTGACCTCCTGAAGCGTTAAATCCAATGTGTCGTTCGGCTAATTGGCGCAGCACCAACATACTGCTAAGTTTTGCTGCAGATAATTGTGATGTCCGAGGCTGTATCCAGCTGAAGACGCATTTGTTTCCCGTTTAGGTGAACTCTGATGTACTTTCTGCAAGCCACATGTTCATCAGAGTAAACCACTTGAACCGTACTACAGTTGCTGTATATTTTGGGAACATTCGAATTCGGTCTCGAATGTCTACCATGTTTGAACAGCAGTCGGGAACGGCAGTGCGTTTCCTTATGGCCTCGTTTATGACACTTGTGACAAACATGTTTCAGGAATGGACATACTCGAAAAACATGCCACTCACCACATCTCCAACAGGCAGTCTGGAGCTTGGGATCCTCTCTGGGCTTTCTTTGGCCGGTTCCACTTGAAACCGATTTCCTTGAAGTGGTTTTCAATACACTAATACTTGAGGTTGGCTGTTGCCTCTCCAGCATAAGCGTGTCATAATCGAGGTTCAGCAATCTTTGGCATTCAGCAGTAATGGTCTGCAGAGTCATTTGCGGGTAGTGTTCAAGTTTACTCAGCAGACTGGTGCGAATCTCTACATCCTGTGGGGAATGTTGGCCACAGATAAAAATCAGGCATTTGAACTGATTTGCCGTGATGCCTTTGATGTCGAAACTTCGCACTCGCGATTGACGATGCCAGCGCAAATAACGTAGTCATCAGCGTCCAGGTTGGTTCAGATACCGATATCGCTCGTTGAAGACGCATGACTGCTCTCCAAATACTTGACCCAAGGATTTGACAGTCTCATCAAAAGTGCAATCTAGAGCGTTCTTGGGCAAACTAAAACTGACTTACATAGAGTGCTCTGCTGTTTAACTTTTCTTAACAGCAACCGGACTTTCCAATTGTCATCAAGGTTACCAAATTCAACGCGGAATACATCTCTATAGCGCTTGAAGCAGGATCCAAAAGTGAGTCCAGCATCAGGGTCGTATGCAAATTCAGTAATGCTGATAG